TTCTGCTGATCGAAGGGCCACTCATCTGTGGGTTCTTGTTTATAGCCAGCCCAGAAGACTATACAATATATGTATGTTTATATATGATTATATAATCATGGAGAAAATATGTTTTAATAGGTTATCTGGGCACGGAATGGTTGGTGGAAAGGTATAATATAGAAGGAGATGGGGAAATAAAAAGGACAGGGCAACCAAGTAACTTTGAAAGGAAAATGTAGTGACTGGATATTTTAAATATACATTAATATGATCCATTTCTGTATTTCTGTAAAATTATACATTAATAGGTAATAATTGTCAAATTTATCTGCATATATAATCATTCATTATCTGGAATCAAGTTGGTTACATTATTTCCCTTTATCCTATAGCCACTGGACTCAAGTTCTGCTTTACTCACTGTGCATGATGTTGGAGGCTTGAACTCTGGGTCTTGGGGCTGCACTCCAGCTGCATTGGGGAGGAAACGTTGCATATTCTCTGTGAGGTACCAGCTTCGGTTCTCATCAAATACAGAAAACAGGATAACATTTCTGTTGTCTGACATCATCTGTTAATTACAGTTTTGAAAGAGGGAAAGAAATGCTATTGATACTGTCCGATAGGACAGCAGTCTGTGATGGAAGCAATGGCATGCATGTGACATATCTAATCATTTGATTCAATGCATTTTCTGTTAGGGTTACTATTATGACATATACCAGGCCTGGGAATGAGGGTGGGTGCTTCCAGCAGTTTGTATTTGCTTAGATCAAATGTGTCCTCAGGGCAAGAGAATGACTAGATCCACTGAACTTAGTTCTTCTGGACCTAGGGCCTATGCTGACTGTTTTTTTGTTTTGTTATAGTCTGTAGCAGTCTGTACAGTCTCATTCTCTCTATGTTCAGATTAGAAGATTTTTTTTTTGAGACGGAGTCTCACTTTGTTGCCCAGACTAGAGTGAGTGCTGTGGCGTCAGCCTAGCTCACAGCAACCTCAAACTCCTGGGCTCAAGCAATCCTGCTGCTCAGCCTCCCGAGTAGCTGGGACTACAGCATGCGCCACCATGCCGCTATTTTTTCTATATACATATTAATTGGCCAATTAATTTTTTTCTATTTATAGTAGAGACAGGGTCTCGCTCTTTCTCAGGCTGGTTTCAAACTCCTGACCTCAAGCAATCCGCCTGCCTCGGCCTCCCAGAGTGCTAGGATTACAGGCGTGAGCCACCGTGCCCGGCCCAGATTAGAAGATTTTCATTGTCTTTCTTAAACAAGTTAGGTAAGTCAAATAAGAGTAATACCTTTCCTAAACTGCCATCTAGTAACTGTCCTTCCACAAGGCTACCCATCTATAAAAAATTAAAAATAGAAAAACAGAAATAAAATAGCAAAGATAAGGCAAACCACAAAAATGTTGAACACTAATACCTTAAGTTTTCTGTTTAAAAAATCAAATTTTTTCAGAAGAGCAGTTTGTACATGAATAAAATTTGTGAGTTTAGTCCCTTGCTAATTGAATCTGCTAAGATTTAATATGTAAACCTCGCTAATAATATAAATTTCATTTTGCATAATGAATAGCTACTGAAACCAAAATGCTGAGGGGAGGACACTGGAAAATATAGAAGTATATTTCAGTCTTCCAAAAAATGGTAGAAAAACTACAATTAGGAAAAATTTGTCAGGACAGGTAGTTGGCCAAATTTGTGATTCTATGGGACTAGTAGGAATCTTATGTATCATAAATAACCACATGAACATGTAGTCAAGCCTCAGCAATATGGCAATGAGTTATTCTGGAACCAAGCAATGAGTTTTTGTGAAGAACTAATCTTTCCTTGTTCTGAAAATTTAGCTTTTTTTTTCTTTTTTTTTGAGACAGGATCTTACTCTGTCACTCAGGCTAGAGTGCAGTGGTGCCATCAGAGCTCACTGCTACCTCAAACTCCTGGGCTCAAGTGATCCACCCTCTTCAGCCTCCCAAGTAGCTGGGACCACAGGTGCACGCCACCACACCCAGCTAATTAAATTTTTTTTTTGTAGAGACAGGGTCTCACTATTGTCCAGGTCTCAAACTCCTGAGCTCAAGTGATCCCTCTGCCTCAGCCTCCTAAAGTGCTAGGATTACTGGTGTGAGGCACCACACCTGTCTGTTAGCTTTATTTTTTAAAGTAGGAGAAGTGGTTCAAATTCTAACCATATTCTGAAATATTTTATATTTTCCCTGTATTTTACTTAACAAATACTTATCAAGCTCTTACTAAATGCCAAGCAGTTTCTTACATGCTGCAGATATGTTAATTTTGAGGTACTTTCTAGTCACCCATAATGAGATGTCCAGGCTGTAGATACAAATTTGCGGATCATCTGAAAATAGGTGGTAATTGGACATGTAAAAATAGGTAAGACCACCTAGAGAGAGCTAAATCCCAGACTGGAAATAAGTATAACAGAAAACTCTAGGGCCCAGAGTCTATGGCCTATCTATCCAGCAGTCAAGGCTATTACACGAAACTCAAACTCAGTAAAAGCTAAGCAGAACCCAGCTCATTTCTTTCATTGGCCAATATTGCAGATTACTATAGTTTCTGCAAACTATAAGGGGACATACACTGACAGTTCATATGCATCTCATTCCATTTTTAGTTTCAAATTCAGTACTTAGAAAGGGAATAACTCACCTGGTTTCCTCTTTGATCTACAGATTCTTTGTAGCAGATGAGGAGAGGGCCAATGAGTCCTGAAGCTAGATCTTTCTCCAGATTAATGAAACTAGAGTAATAACGGGTCAAGCATCGAGGATCTGATTTAGTTGGCCCATTTTCTAGAGTCACTGTCCATTTATACTTGAATATTTCTCCTGGCAGAATTGGCAAATCTTTCAAATGTTTTACACCTACCCACACCCAAACCCAGAAATAACTTGATTAGAGTATAAGAAGTCACATATTGGTAATCATGTTGTTATTACAAGGGTTCTACAAATCTATGTGCACATATTAAATTTCTCAGTAAATGGAAATTAAAATCGCTTCTATTAGAAGTATAAGATTCACACAATTTTTTTTTTACAATCAAAAGCTATCCTGAATATATGCCAAAGAGCTGGGCACTGAAGTTTAAACTCATATATGGTATTAAGAAATGTGATATCTGACCCCTGTTAGGACAGGCAGCCTGAGACCTGCCCTCAGGCTAATGGGTCCTTGGTACAAAAAATGTCTGATTTTAGTAATTAAACCTCATTTTGGGGTATGTTTAATAACTAAAGATCCAATCTAAATCAAAATTTTAATTTCACTTCCATTCTAAGCTCTCCTTTATCCCATTAAGTTATGTCTGACTTATGGTATGTCTTTTCAACATTTCTCAGCTTTCTTCTCTTCCCTCGTACAGGAGCTGGGAGTAAGGGTGTGTGGGTATTAGAAGTATATGGGCTTTCAGAATTCTCCACATAAAAAGCAGATTACCAGTAACTCTATTATGTATGCCTCAAATTTTAGGGTACACATTCAAAATCTGCCCAGAACTCTGGCACAATGCCCTTCTCCCATAAAGGAATGCAAATCAGACTGGTGTTAGAATTCTCATCAGCAACAATGAATATTAGAAAAGAGTGATATACATAACCTTAACATTTGTACCCCCATAATATGATGAAATAAAAAGAGTGGATGGAAAATTATTTATAACAATCCTGTCTATACATCCTGTGATACTGAAGGACTCTGAAAATTTATTCTCTATGTACTATGTATATAGAAGTTACTTGAGGATATACTTCCAGAAAAACAAAAGAAGAAATGAAAAAACAGAAATGTACAAGATAAAGGAGGTAATGTCACAAACCTACAAGTCCAAAGGAAAAAAAAATATAAAGATCGCAGCTTTGTAGCAGGCTTAGAAAGCGTATAATCCAAATTAAAGCAATAAATTGGTGAACTACAAGAATGTCTTTAAGATGAGAAAAGAGGCACAGTGGCTTACACCTGGAATCCTAGCATTTTGGGAAGCCAAAGTGGGAGGATTGCTTGAGGTCAGGAGTTTGAGACCAGCCTGAGCAACATTATACCTACCAAAAAAGAAATTCTGTCTCTAGCATAGAACTGTTAAAATAATAATAATAAATTAAAAAATTAGCCGGGAGTGGTAGCACATTCCTATAGTCCTGGCTACGCAGGAGGCTGAGGCAGGAGGGTCACTTGAACCCAGGAGTTCGAGGTTGCTGGGGCAACAGAGTGAGACCCTGTCTCCAACATAGAAAGATAAATAAATAAATAATAATAAAGCCTTCACTTCTTGGCATTGACTCACACTCTTCTTGAAAGTTGTACCTCTCTCCTGATTTAAAAAAGAAAAAAGGAAAAAAAAGGAAAAAGATTTGGATATCAAGCAGTAAATGGAATGATTAAGAAGATGAAAGGCCTTAGAGGTATGGTAAACAAGCATACATTTTTTTTCCTAACAAAAGAAAAGAAAGTCTTACTTCAGGATACAAACACAAAAATTATGATAGCATGGTCTTAATATAAAACAAACTAAAATTTTGCATGATTTTGAACTACTAATAGAGAATAATAAAGGAGAATCTATTTGATCTTTTTACCATTATTATTTTTAACTGACATAATAATTGTATATATTTATGGGGTATGGTGTGATATTTCCATACATGTATACAACGTGCAATGATCAAATGAGGGTAATTATTATATATTCATCACTTCAAATATTTATCATTTCTTTGTGCTGGGAACATTCTAAAACCTCTCTTTAGCTATTTGAAAATATATAATAAATTATTGTTAACTATATAATTAACTATAGTCACGCTACTGTGCTATTGAACACTAGAACTTATTCTTCCTATCTAACTATAATTTCCAGCAGTCCCAACCTTTTTGGCACCAGGATTAGTTTCATAGAAGACAATTTTTCCACGGACAGCTGGCGGAGAGGGAGGGGGCTCCTGGCGGGGGTTGGAGGCGGAGCTCAGATGGTCATGCCCCGCCTGGTTCCTAACAGGCCATAGATAGTACCGGGCCTCGGCCCAGGGGTAGAGGACCATAGTGTTAATCAACCTCTCCCTCCTCCTTCCCAGCCTCCAGTTATCACTATTCTATTCTGTACTTCTATGATGTCAACTTTTTTACTTCCCCATGTTATTTTATCTTAATTAGTAAAATCATTTGAACTGCAGACAAGAGAACAATCACAGCATATGACCCAGTTCTGCTGTAAACATTTATAGAAAGGAACTTATACAATAAATAATATATATGCTGTTCTCTTGATTGTTAAACTTTGTAATAAATATGTAGACAAAGCAAGGAAGATTTATTTAAAATTTCAGTACAAAATGTAAATGTTATCAGCTTTAGTTTTATAAAAGTAAAGGTACAGCTGGCAGCAGTTGAGAAAAGGAAGGGTAAGGGAGAGGAAAAGGGGAGTCAAGAGATACTGTCTAATCACGAAGATTAAAAAGTGTATGTTTAGTATATTTTTATAGTTCTAATGATAGCCAATTGAGGAAATAAAAACACTGATGGAACTGTGAAACTGGAGTGGAGCTAAATCCTTATTTAACACAAAATAAAGTAAAAGTTGAAAAACAATTAGCAGTATAAGTAATGTTTTAGAGATGTAGAATATTCATAAAAAATGAAAGAATATAAAGAATATATGTAACATCCAATCTACTAAAAGGAAAAATAAATAACAAACTACTGACAAAAGACATAAAAGGCTAAATAATTGTAATTAAAATATAAGATTTGGCACCAGAATCTGGAGTGTAGTGGGAAATAAAACAAAAAAAAAAGAAAAAGAAAAAAAATTATAAAAAAATAAAATATAAGATTACCATAATAAATAGAAACAAATCAGTAGTAATATAAATATGACAAGGCTAAACATAAAATAAACAAAAATATGGGAAATTAACATTGTGGAAAAGATAAATTAGCTAAGCATATGTGGTAATACTAAAATTAGTGAAATAGAATTGAAGTTAAGGAGCAAAACAGAGAACCAAGAAGGACATTTTTATTGATAAAAGCAACAATTCATGAGATAAATAATGCCATACAAACAAACAATATAGTAAATAAAAACTTGAGTTGTAAACTATTCAGAAATGAAAAGTAAAGAGATTACTAGTTATTAAAAGTATGGAATACAGCCCCAAACTATACTAAAAAATATATGATCTTAAAAACCAGAAGAACCAGCTTCGAGATTTTAGGGCACTAGTAGTAGTTGCAGTAGAGAGGTGCCAATCTAATTGGCTGTGCAATAGTTGAACATCACCGGTAAAAAATAGCAAAAGCACATCAGGTGACTCTTCACTAACTTACTTGAGACATCATCTAAGGATTCCTAGAATTGATTTGGAATAACTTTAGATTGGGGCTTGAGGTCCTATGTTAACAGCTGGGGAAAGAACCAGCCAGCATAATTTTAGTTGTATCTACGGGTAAGAAATACCTATAAATGAGGCTAATACTTACCTTTTGGCAATCTCCCCAAGTGCAAAGGACTGACATCAGTGATTCCATGAGGGTAGATGTTATATGGTCGGCTTGCTTGATTCTTAAATATAATCTGAATGTATAAATGAGATATAAGATCAAGTCTTCAAACAACAATTAGTAGCAATAAGAAAACTGTGGCTTAACTCCAGATAAACAAAAGCAACCTGTATCCACATTATAGGGATTTTAAGCCTATGATAAAGCTCCAAATATTTGGTCTCTCACGAAATTGCTCAGACAGCTATGGTTGTCCCTCAGTACCCACTGGGGATTGATTACAGGACCCCCTAAAATCTGCAAAGTTTGAATTCCTGATATAAAATGGCATAGTATGAGATTCGGAAAATGGTGGAGTAGGGGTGCCCTCCTGGCTCTCTGCTCCCAGAATGAAAAGTGAAGAAAGCAGATAGCCACACTCGAGCGATCTGCACTTCCACGGGACCAGCTTCACAAGCCTGCAGACATCCAACAGGAAACGGAGGGATAAGACCATTTACAGCCTAAAGCAAAGGTGAATTGATTATTCTTCCACAAAAATCGGGGATTCGGAGGCACACAACAGAGAGGGAGCAAGATGTGGTTTAAGCCGCTGCCAGCTGGCAGTGGCGCCAGCCCTACCTGGTGTTGAGAAACACCCCCTCCTACACTGAGCTCCACTTCCACGTAGGCCGGGAGGTGCCTGAAGTTGGTGAGAAGTGGCAGCGTGGGACTAAGCCATGTGGAGAGGAGACTAGAGCAGGGAACACGCTGAGTTCTCCAGAGCACACAGCTGCCGCAGTTTAAGGTGGGGGAGGGTCCGAGCCCAGCAACCACTCTCCGCGCCACAGGAACCAGAGCCCACTCGGGCATCTCTCTGCAGAACACTCCCAGGTCAAGGTTAAGGGGAGTTTACACAGAAGGAGACTTTGACTTTGGATATAGAGGAGGTTTGGGATAGCACTGAGAGGTCAGAGTGAGCAAAATTAGACTCCTCGATCCATTAGGACCCCCCCTCTGCCCCTCTGGCACCGATCCTGCCCACGCATTCCAGCGCTGACTTAGGCTCCGGGTTTGGAGGGGAGGCACAGAGAGAGCGCTGGTACGTGCCCCTGCTCCACCAATTTGATATTGGACCATCACTTGCTGCACAAGTGGCACTGACTCTGTGCTCAGAGAGTGGACCCTGCCTGGATGGGGCAGTACTATAGGGGAGATTGCCCTTGGCGGATTTAAGGCAGAGAAACATTGCCTTCCACACTCTCCTGCAACCCGGAGCCCTGCCCTGGGCACCAAAGTCTCTGTCCCAGCCTAGGGGGCGGAGCTGAGATAGGAACTGTTCCCATTTCTGCTGCTTATCTCCACCTGTGTAATTAAGGAGACAGAAGACAGGGATTGGTGGGTCCCATTGCCTGCCTGCCCGCTTCTGGTCAGTCTCTCCCTGCACAGGTGTCCCGCGCTCTGTGGCCAGAGTGCGGAGCCCACCTGGGCAGACCCGAGCCTTGTAGGAGGCTGCCTTTAGTGGTTATAAAGCAGAGGTATTTTACGACCCCCACATCCGGGGATTTGGGGATAGGCCTTTGGCTCCAAAGTTTGTATCCCCGCCTTGGGAGCGGAGCCGAGATAGAAAGTGCTCCCATTCCTGCCGCTTATCTCCACCTGTGGAATTAAAGAGACAGAAGACGGGGCATGATGGGTCTGGCTGCCAGCCTGCCGGCATGCTGGCTTCAGGTCAATCTCTCACTGCACAGGTCTCCCGTGCTCTGTGTCCAGAGTGCGGAGCCCGCGTGGGCAGGGCCTAGCCTTGTAGGAAGTTGCCCTTAGTGGCTATAAGGCAGAGAGATTTTACGTCCACCACCATCCCATGTCTTGTGGCTGAGCCTTTGGCTCCAAAGTCTCTGTCCCCGCCTTGGGGGCAGAGCTGAGATAGGAACTGTTCTCATTCCTGTCGCTTATCTCCACCTGTGTAATTAAGGAGACAGAAGACAGGGATTGGTGGGTCCCATTGCCTGCCTGCCTGCTTTTGGTCAGTCTCTCCCTGCACAAGTCTCCCGCCCTCTGTGTCCAGAGTGCGGAGCCCGCCTGAGCAGGGCTGAGCCTCGTGGGAGACAGCCCTTAGTGGCTATAAGGCAGAGAGACTTTACTTCCACCACGCTCCAGTGTCTTGTGGCTGAGCCTTTGGCTCCAAAGTCTCTGTCCCCGCCTTGGGGGCAGAGCTGAGATAGGAACTGTTCCCATTCCTACCGCTTATCTCCACCTGTGTAATTAAAGGGACAGAAGACGGGGATCCGTGGGTCTGGCTAGAGGCCTGCCGGCTTCAGGCCAGTCTCTACCTGCACAGGTCTCCTGCGCTCGGTGTCCAGGCCCTGGAGTTTGACTGGGCAGGGCCTAGCCTAGTAGGAAGCTGCCTTTGGTGAATACAAGACAGAGAGACATTACGACCCACACACTATGGTGACTTGGGGCTGGGCCTTTGGCTCCAAAGTTTCTAGCCCCACCTTGGGGGTGGAGCTTAGATAGGAACTGCTCCCATTCCTGCCATCTATCTCCACCTGTGTAATTAAGGAGGCAGAAGACGGGAGGCCGCCGGAGCAGCCCGAAGACCAGTGGGAAGGGTAGGGGAATTAGCTGTTTCCCCTCCACTACATCTCCGACTGCTGGTGGGCTCCCCAGCGGGTAGAGAGACCTGCAGACACCAGCCCAGCGACGGCTGCCGACAGTGAGCAACTCCACCTACCAGCTCAGAAACTAAACAAGACGTGTGAATACCCAAACGAAAACCTAAAGGAAAGAAACAACAACTGAGCGAAATGGGAAGAAATCAGCGAAAGAACTCAGGAAATATGAAGAACCAAATGGAAAACACACCCCCAAAGAGGAGCACCAGCCCCCTAGAAATGGACACCAACCAAAATGACAGAAGAGAAATTCCGTTTGTGGATCATAAGAAAACTTAACGACCTGCAAGAACAACTCAATAACCAACACAAGAAACCACAAAAAGCCTCCAGGACCTGGAAAAAAAGTTCACTAAAGAAATAGACACAATGAAGAAAAGATTAACCGAACTCCTAGAAATGAAAAATCAATTCAGGGAACTACAAAATTCAGTGGAAAGCCTCAAAAACAGGGTAGATCAAACAGAAGAAAGAATCTCAGAGATTGAAGATAACACCTTCCAATTAAATACATCAGTCACAGAGATAGAGCAGAGAAACAAGAGAAAAGAGCAAAGCCCACAAGAGATGTGGGATTATGTGAAGAAACCTAATGTGAGGGTCATAGGGTTACCAGAAGGGGAAGAAGACAACACTCAAGGGTTGGACAAGCTTTTTGAAGATATAATAGAGGAAAATTTCCCAGGCCTTGCTCAAAATCTCAATATACAAGTTCAAGATGCTCAGGGAACCCCTGGGAGATTCAATGCAAACAGGAAGACGTCACGTCATGCAGTCATTAGACTGACCAAAATATCAACTAAAGAGGCCCTTATAAGGGCAGTAAGATAAAAGAAGCAAGTAACTTACAAGGGAAAGCCAATTCGAATAACACCAGACTTCTCTAATGAGACTTTACAAGCAAGGAGAGCCTGGGGCCCCATTCTCACTCTTCTGAAACAAAACAATGCCCAGCCTAGAATCTTATTCCCTGCAAAACTAAGCTTCGTATATGAAGGACAAATAAAGACATTCCCAGACAAGCAAAGCCTCAGAGAATTCACCAAGACAAGACCAGCCGTACAAGAAGTACTCAAAACAGTGTTACACACGGAACACCATAATAGAAACTCATGAATATAAAAATAACTAAAACCCAAAGACTAAAGTATAGATATATACTAAAGAATATACCTATAGACTGTATAGACTAAAGTACAGATATCCAGATATCACTATGGCTCAAGAGAGAAATCAAAGCAACAACATCCAACCCAACAGAATGAACAGTAATCTACCTTACCCATCAGTTCTCTCAATAAACGTGGATGGCTTAAACTCTCCACTCAAGAGACATAGGCTGGCTGAATGGATAAGAAAATACAGGCCAAGTATATGCTGTCTTCAGGAAACACATCTAACCTGCAAGGATGCATATAGACTAAAAATAAAACGGTGGAGATCAGTATTCCAAGCAAGTGGAAGCCAAAGGAAGGCTGGCGTGGCAGTTCTAATTTCAGACGATTTAGTTTTTAAACCAACAAAAGTAGTGAAAGAGAAAGAGGGTCATTATATAATGGTGAAGGGCACAGTTCAACAAGAAGAGATAACAATTTTAAATATATATGCACCCAACTTAGGTGCACCCAGATTCATAAAGCAAACCTTACTGGATCTAAACAAATTGATTATCCGCACAAGAATACTAGACAGTGTTACACACGGCACCATAATAGAAACTCATGAATATAAAATAACTAAACCCAAGACTAAAGTATGATAATACTAAAGATATACCTATAGACTGTATAGACTAAAGTACAGATATCCAATATATCACTATGGCTCAAGAGAGAATCAAAGCAACAACATCCAACCAACAGAATGAACAGTATCTACCTTACCCATCAGTTCTCTCAATAAACGTGGATGGCTAAACTCTCCACTCAAGAGACATAGGCTGGCTGAATGGATAAGAAACTACAGGCCAAGTATATGCTGTCTTCAGGAAACATCTAACCTGCAAGGATGCATATAGACTAAAATAAAACGGTGGAGATCAGTATTCCAAGCAAGTGAAGCCAAAGGAAGGCTGGCGTGGCAGTTCTTTCAGACGATTTAGTTTTAAACCAACAAAAGTAGTGAAAAGAGAAAGAGGGTCATATATATAATGGTGAAGGGCACAGTTCAACAAGAAGAGATAACAATTTAAATATATATGCACCCAACTTAGGTGCACCCAGATTCATAGCAAACCTTACTGGATCTAAACAAATTGATTAATAGCAATACCATAATCACCAGAGATTTCAACACCCCACTGAAGGCATGAGACAGATCCTCCAGTCAGAAAATTAACAAAGAAATAATGGACTTAAAGAAAATTCTAGAACAATTGGGACTGACTGACATTACAGAACATTCTACCCAAATCCAC